CACTCTTTCTTCAGAGGGCATTGCTAACGTTAGTCTGAGCCACAACACATTTTGAAGAACTCCATTTCCAATATTCTTTTTTAAACTCTGCTTAAAAAGTGATAAGAAACGTAAGTAAGAATCTTTAGGAAGAGGTATACAGGGTATGCACACTGCAAACACAAAAACAAAGACACTCCAGAATCTCCATGCATGCTCTTAAAGACTTCCGTAAAAGCTCCAGGCACGCTTCAGTGTTCCTGAGTTTAAATAAGATATCTAAAAAATATTGAATCACCAGGCGTCAATGAATCCCTATACTTGGTTTTCGTCAGGGAGCCAATTCAAAACATCGTTTATCTCTAATCCGAGATAGTAGATCACTAAAATTCTTGATACATTTCCTTAAATTTAGAATACGGAGCATCTAAAAATCTGAAAAAACATTATCATATTTTAATTACCAAATACCTTTTTCATTTTAAGTCGCTGTATCTGACCATATCCAAAGTAACTATTTTCTTAGTTTTTCCATCTTAAAATTACACTAGAAAACTAACGAAGCATGAAAAAAAAAATATATACCTTGTATTCAAGCCACAGGCCACCTATAAATAAAAAAAGAATTTGTAAGATGTGAATGAGTTTTCCTCCAACTTTCAAAAGGAGATTATTGCTTTATCAAAATACTTCAGAGACTGAACTCCCTGTCTTCATTTCACAGAACTATAGGAAACAAACCTGTTAACAGTTAAAAAAAAAAAAAAAAAGAGCATCCAAATGTAAAAGAAATATAAGTATATCCGGGACAATGATTTATCTTGTAATCTTTTGTGTTAAAGACAAAAAGAACTCCTTCAGAGCCAAAGGCAGGCATTCAAATAATGAATCATGACCCATACGGTTATCGATTGCAGATGTTCAGATATTCGTAAACTTTCAAATGAAAGACCATCTTGTATTTCTTGGTGAGGGAAGCCTCTGCTACCTGCTTTCAAGATGCTATTACACAGAATAAAAAAAGCTGTCTCTTAGTTTTAAATCAGCCAGAAAATGGCAGCATGAAGTGCACTGTGCTGTAGCCAAGGGGCACAGCCCAAAGAATGGGTAATGAAAAGTAAAAAACTGACTGGATTATAGACTAGCTGCTTCCCTATAAAAACCTGGTGATCTCACTGAACTGAAACTTAAAACAACAGCAACAACCATGACCCACCCCACTGAAATGAGCTGTGTACTGCTATGGGGGCAGGCGGGAAGGTGCTAAGTTTAAAGCATACTAGTCACTGGAGTCAGAATGTTTCTTTCAAAAGTTGAGAATTGCTTTTACTTTGGGAAAAGTGAAATTCTTTAACATGTTGTTATCAGAAACTTAGTCAAACTAAGTACTTTCATAGCTTCTCATTTATCTGAAGGCAGCAAAAAGACCCATTGCAGAAAATGGCAATATGCTGTGATTTCTTAGGAAAACGTAAGCCTCAAAGTTGAAGAAAACACAAATTTCAGTAAAGTACTTGGCGTCATATCTACCATCTGCCTAAATTCCATACAACTGCAGCCAGAATGTTTCACGTAAACGAGATGCAAAGGTCTACACTACCTTAGGTAACACTGAAGATTGAGTTTGTGTCTTGGGTTCCTCCAGCACCTGTCTCTAAATCAGAAACAGCGTTTTGCTCTGCAGTTCCCTTAAGCACTATGAGAAAGACTTCCAGGGTCTTGTACACAGAAGCATATACACTATGTAGTACAGTATGTCAGAAGTACCTAAGCTAGCTTCAAAGAGGCTGATTTATCTCCACTGCACAGCTCAGTGCAAAGTTTACAGCAGGTTTTAAAGGCAGTTAATTGCCTTAGCTCAGGTATCCCAACATGGTACTCCACTGTGCAGCACAGACAATTATCGGTTCTGGCTCCAGTCTTTCTTCAAAAAGTATTTTTAACGTCTTACAAGTTTCAAAATGCAACGGAAGTGCTTAATACACAAAGCATTTCAAAATAAATATGAAAAAGCAAACAACTGTGAGACAACTTTGAAGGCAGCACTAGTAAATAAGTCCCTACCCAGTACCAAGGCAGCTTATTTTAACAGCTGCCAAGCAAGTGTTACAGCAACAGCTCTACAGTCAATATTAGTTTCCTTAGTTTTCAGTGACTAAAGTAAGTATCTACCAAATTCACTAAATATCACTGATAAGCTGTGAAGAAAGCTTTTCAGATTTTTCTAAAATGAAAAGCTCTTATTAAAAAAAGTATGAAGTGTTCAATAATTTTAGTCTGTATTTTTTGTTTGTTGAATTTGGTTTTTTGATCTAGTCATTACCATAATTTACAATCTAGCAGGCTCTATATGACATTTGAGGTTCATTATACAACTGACATCAAATAACAACAAAAAGGACATCACCTCCAGGAAACGTTGAGGATCACACTCATGGACCAGCTTTTCACAATCCTTCAAAAAATTCTCAATGGTCTTCTTGTGAGTTTCCTTCATTTTCTTCCAAATCTGAAATTCTTTCTCTTTTTTACTTCTTTGATTTTCAACATCTTGTAGCAATTGCCCTTTCTTCATTTCCAGAGTTTTGAAAATTTCTTCAAATTCCAGTGCAATTATCTCTGCATCATTGTTCAGCACCATCTAGAAGCACAAGAACATAAAAACAGATAAAAATGCAGTAGCAACGTCTACATGGGTGTCGCTTCCCTAAGCAACTTGAGAGCACACACATGCCACAAGAAGCACTAGCATACTCCATGTTGTGATTAACCCATCAGGAGAACAGAAACAAAGACATATATGTGTGTGTGTATATATATATATATTAAAAAAAAAAATCCAGCATCTGTAACTTACATCTGTATCATTCGATTGACTTGAGATTTCATCCACCAGCTTCTCATTTATTACTCGCATTTGTTTCAGACTGCTGAAGAAGGTTAACTGCAAGACAGTTGAAACACTTATGATGACTGTATTGAGAATTGTTCCGTACAACATATTAAACAGAGCCTGCGATTCAAAACATCACCTAGTAACACCTCATGCTTTCCTGGATCAGTACACAAACTTTCTTTTGCTGTTTCTCTCTCTCTCTAAAACTAATGTTTTTAGGCTCACCTTACAATGCATATTGCTAGAATGGCTACAGGGTTACTTTATAGTTAAAACATTGTTTCCCCTCAGCCCTTTTTTTAACCTCTCCCCTCACACACACACACACAGACACATCTATCACAATCTAATTTCTAATGCTTGTTATGCCAGTTTGACAAGCAACTGTGTGATATTTTTATATTAAAAATATTTTAAATGCCTCACACTAATAAAATAGAAAGCTATAACAGAGTTATTTCTGTTGGTTTTAAACTAAGATTATACCTGCTTTTTTCCTCCTTCACCTCAGTACAGTATCACTAAGTTTTATGTAGGCAGTCCAGTGCAAAGACTGTTTTCCTCTGCTTTCCCCAGTGACACGCAATGGTGACGTGAGAGGGAGGAAGGAAACCAGTGCAAAAGCAACTTTTGGCTTAAAGAATAGTCAGTGCTGTACTTAAACTTTTATACCTACGCTCATCATCACTGCCCTGTTCAATCTGTTTCAATCACTGCACAGCAGAACTACTCTATGACATGCCACCCTGCACACAACTTGCAGAGGGCATAAAAAGCTCACTCTACCCAAACGGTAGCTATTTTAGCAAAACCCACAACTACGGCCACTACAACCAGCTAACCAATCATTCGGCCACACAGTTGCTTTCTTCATGCAAACAGGAATGCATTTTGGGTTTACATTTATTAAATTATTATTTATCTAAACCATCGATTTCTAAATATGTAATTATCTATGGTCCAAATTACCTATACCAGCTCAGAGAGCCTACAAAAAAAAAATATCTGTGGGTGCTTTTTTTTTTTGTTAGTAGCACTAACATAATCCTGAACGTGGAAAAATTGGATCCAGACATGTAGAAAACTCTTAGCATCAGTGTGGTTTTTTCAGCAAAGACTGCAAGCCTCTACACTTAAAAAACCCAACTCCTCAGGCGGTTTGGTAAGTTGAGTTCAGATCTGTTGAAACTGTAACACCGCCTGGTCCCCTGCATGTGGTGAAGCCCGAGGGCAGCAGGGCAAGACACACTCCGGTAGCCCACCAACAAATCCAGACTCCCGGTCCGAACCAGCACACACCCCACCGCCTCTCGCCTGCCCACCACATGCCGTTCTTCCTTGCGTTTCTGAGGAAAAACCACCCAGGCCCGGTGGGATCCCCTGTGGGACAGCCCAGCCTCCCAGACGGACCCCTGGCGTGGGGAAGAAGCTTACTTTTTCCTCTTGGTACACAGTGTCGATGAGGTTGACGGAGTGGAAGATGCCTTGGTGCTCCTCAGAGACGCACTGCCCGCACCCCGCCCGGCGGCACATCCGGCAGTAAAGCTGCACCGGCCGGCTCGGGTGCTTCTGGCAGCTTCCCCCGAGCGCCAGCGGGGAAAGCAGGCCAGGCCCCTGCCCCTGCTCTGCCTCCACCG